AGACTGTGCAATAAAGTCATGCAAATTATTAAAAACTTGGACATAATTAAAGCACTGAAAGTATTTTAAAAGCCTGGATATAAAGGGGTTTGGGTAGCGCCAGGTGAGTGTCTTTGGGGAGGCTGTTTCCTAACCGGGGCCACTTCTTGGTGGTTACCTGCCTTACCTCATTTGGCAGGGACAATCTAAGCAGATGACCTTAAGGTCCGGATAGGGACACATGGGAGAAGCCAGTCGGTCTGATAACCTGGTTCTGCAGGGCTTAAAGGCTAAACCCACAGCTTTAAATTGGGCCCGAAACAGACTGAGAACTAGTGCCACTGACAGAATGCAAATGTTAAACAGAGTAACTGCCCAGCTCGAGTCAATGTACTTAGAGCCCTGTTGAGGAGCAACTGTGGTTTTAAAACTGTTTTTAAAGTCAATATAATATATTGCAGTGGTCTACATGGGACAGGGGTGGTGCAAACTCTCCTTCCACTTGAGGTGGAAGACCATAAATGTTCTACCACTGTTTCATCTTCTCCCGATTGCCACCATTGCTGTATTTCCTGTCACTTCCCACCTCTCTGCATTGTGCATCACCACCTTTTCTGTCCTTCTTACCCCATCCTCTCTACTGCTCCCTGCCTTCTGTCTCATTCCCAGGACAAACTAGAGGGTGAACAGGTTTCCTGAAGAGCTGTGTCAGCTGGAGAAAGCACCTGCCATGGCTCTTCAGACATCCTGCTGGGTCAAGATGCCTAGCTGTGAGGGCATCCTTCTTTAGAGCCGGGCACTGTAGGAGAGGGCATCCCAGGAGATCAGCAGCCGAACTTTGCAAGAGCAAAGAGGAAGTCTAGCATTCGTCCTTCTGAAGAGGGACTCTCTGCTGTCACAGTATTCAGTAACATGAAAATGTAAGATGAAAACAATGACATTTCTGGAAAGGAAAGTTTTTGTTTAAGTTAACTAAAAGTTGCACCACTCAGGACCTTGAAAGTTCGTGCTGAGACTCAATTACCCCCCCAGGAAAGTGCCAGAAAACCATCTGTTCGTTTGAAGTAAAGGGTCCATGCAGTGCTGTTCAGACAGATTATCTACGGAAGCCATATGTGAAGATACATTTCTATGACAAAAGGCAACGAGATCAGCACAAGCTTATGGACATAATCATCATTGAAACAAGTGATGTGGAAACATGATGGCATCCTTTAAACTTTAGTTTTAAGTTTTGAGGTCAACCAATTACAGCCTACTTCATAAATCCTACCCATCTCCCAAAGTCCTTATTTTCCCAAAGCACTCTGAATTACATACTTGGCTCACAGAAACGTTTTCAGATCTCCAAAAGAGGGCATAAAGTATTTAGGTGCACACAAACCACTGCAGACTTGGGTATGCACCGAGAGAGACAGTTTCACTAAATGCTGGTACAACAGCACTCAGATAGTTGGATTTAGGCCAATGGCTTATTGTGGTTCCTAGCATTGGCAGCCATCTCTTCCACCAGCCAGCAAGCACAAACAAGCACCACCGCTGGTTGTGCAAGGCTCTTGTGCTGCGACACTAAGCTAACAACAGCACAGCACAAGAGGGCTAGGAGAGGACATTTCACCTTCCTTGCAAAGCCAGGCAACAAGGCAGGAAGCTTCTGCTGTTGCCAGAAGTTCTTCTATGTTCCCTGTTTTTCTGCAGCTTGCATTGTGAGCACAGAACAGGAGTGGGGAACGCGTGACCTTTCCAATGTTGTTGGGCTGCCGCAGTATTAAGCAGCATAGCCAATGGTGGGGGATAATGGGACTTGTAGTCTGGAGGAGCCCATGCCTAGCATAGAAGTGTCTGGTGTCCTGAACCTCTGTATCAGCCTTCCCCCACCCGGTGGCCTTCAGAGGCATTTGGACCACAGCTTCCATAATTCCCGTCCAGCAGGGCCATTGACTGGGAATTCTGGGTGTTGCAGTCCACATGTGTCTGGACAGCTCAAGGTTGGGGAAGGCTGCTAAATGAAAGCCCTTCCCACAGTCTGAAAACTAGTAGGCTATGTTCTCATGGTCTCTTGCATTTGCTTGTATATGTAGGTTCATAGCTCTTTACCAATAAGTGCATAATGCTTAACAAATCTCTCTTCATCTGAAAAGGGGCGAACGAGGCAGAATTCAATAATTCCTCATCCCTGATCTGATGCTGTGAAATGAGGGTGATGGGTTTGTTTTCTTTGATCATCTCTGCTGTTTGGTAGCCGCAATTTTTAATTTTTATAGTGGAGGTGACCCATTCTGCTTAGTGAGCTTAAGTACATCCAAATCTGCATGCACTAGAGAATGATGCTGATGAGCAGCTTTGCTAGAATTTTACCTGCTGGGGTTGCAGTCCTAAACCCACATACCTGGGAATAAGCCTTACTGAGAAAAAGTAGGACACATGTCCGAGTAGACAGGCATAAATCTGCTGTACAAAAACCTGTGTTTGCAGGATAGAAAACATGAAGTTTGGGGGCCCAGCTAGCTACAAAATAACTTGGTAGACGAGATAATGGAACCGTGATGCTTCTGAGTTATGGACTGGCTACTAAAAAGAGCAGTTTCTGTATGCCTAGCTGACACAGTGTGTCTGGCACGGCTCACCTGTACTTCTGCTTTTAAAGGTAACTTTTAAAGTCAACTTTGAAAACCAAATAGCAGGCTCTAATAGTGATAGCATTCATTCTTAGTGTTATCTGATCAGCTATTCAGCTCCAACACTGAGAAACATTATTTCACAAATTCCAACACAAGAAAAACAAGGCCTGGTTTCTGTATGTTGCTGGGGTAGTTAGAATTCACAACAATGATGTAAGTAAAACCTGGTCACAGACTTACTGATGTTCTTAGGATGCACAAATATCAGAACTAAGCACTGGATCATGGTCCACTGTGACACATTTGCAGCTATCCTAGTTAGGTCAGGCACTTATTACCAGCTGGTAGACACCATCACGGGAGGAGTTCATTCAACATTCTAATCGGGGTATATCGTATTCCAAATTTCTGCAAAGGGATAAGCTGTTTAGATCTTCACAGTTTTTGTGCTTGGTATATTTTAATGTATTTTATTGGCTTGATTATATACAATGGGCACTCCACTTTGAAATGAATCCACTTTGAAATGAATCCAAAAGATTAACTGCTGCATATTTCTGTGTCATTCAGTCTCTAACGGGAAGTAGCATCCTTCTATTAGCCAAGTTGTCTCGTGTCTATCCTTAAGGACTGCTCTAAGCTAACGCATTCCTGTTGGGGAACCCTAATCATCTTGCATCCTTTCCAAGTGTCCATCTCTACTTCAATTTCTGCAAAGCCTGCCAAGATGCATGCCATGATGTATTCAGGCATGTTTTGGGGTATGAACAGTACTTTCATGCTGAAATAGCAAAAAAGTGGAGGGTGATAAGGAAGCTACAGCCTTGAGCTTGCAAGAGCTGAGCAGGGAAGTCAGGGGCAAGATATTCTGGAGGGCATTCATTCACAGGGTCACCATAAGAAGGAGAAGACTTGAGGGCACCTAAGCAGCAATGACAATGGTTAGAATTTGGATGGGGAAGCTCTGCATGCTTACCTGATAAAGGATGGTGCCTGTTCCAGATAAAGGGGCTGGAGTATGTTTTTCTAGTTTCCTAGACTGTGAAGCCTTCCTAAGCAATTTACCAGAGGAAGAGGGCTGAAGCAGTCGTTGCTTTCTAACTGTAGGAAGCAGTTAAGTCAGGTGTTCTTGTGTGTTATTTTAGTGTAGGCACAGCAGTGGTGTGGGTGGGATGTAGATTGGAATTTCAGTGCGAACAGTAGGGGGGCTTTAACATCTTACTTTGGTGCTGAATTCTTAACCTTAGACCCTGCTTTTATCAGGTGGAAATGAGTCAACTAGTCTTCTTTATAGTGCCACTCAGACCCTGAAATGTTGTCCATATAGATGTTAATCTAGCTCGTTCACTTCTGTGATGCAGAAAACTATTTTATGCAGTCAGACTTTTGAGGAGAATGAAGGATTATGTTTTCAAAGATGAGGGTTGCTGCGATTTTTAAATTAACATGCTGGGGCGTTTATGTAGATTATGTATTCCCAAGAGTTGGCTTATTGCAAATTTATTATTATTATTATTATTATTATTATTATTATTATTATTATTTGCTGAAGATTGTGCACTATTTTGACTTTTGCTTTGTTTTAAATTGCTTGCTGGCTGCTGTAGGCACTTTTTATAGAAAGTCGTGGCATAAATGTTAAACTACTATGTAGCTTTAATTCTGAAAAATAAAAGAAGTAAGGTGTTGGGAACCATCTGTCCAAGACTAAGGTGTTATGTGAATTTTGCTGTGGAATAAAATCTCTTTCACATAGCGTTTCATAATGGAAACAAAAGCATAGATGTGTGAGTAAAAATGGTTGTAGTTTGATATTCACATACCAGGTAAAAATGTTCAAAGGGAGAAGTTTTTATATGAATAGCAATTAAGACTGGATCCATATTTAGTTAAGGCTGAACCAGCAAGGATATGGTTGGGTTGGGATGGGTTGGGTTGGTGTATTCTCCTATACCATTACAGTCAGCCGTGTGATTAGAAAGTTGGTCTGAGGACCAGGAGATTCAAGTTCTAATCTTAAAGATCACCGGGTGACTTTGAGCCAATCACTGACTCTCACCCTAATCTACCTCACATGGTTAGTTTGAGGTGAAATAAAGAGGGAAAAGATCATTCAGTCTAGCCTGAGTACCTGAGAGGGGGGAAAGGCAGACTAGAAATGTAATCATAAATAAAATCCATATAATGAAAACATATTTATGAATACAAGCATCAATGTCCTGTGATGTTCAGCTTTCCTTTAGTGATGATACTGATCTCCTAGATTCATTCTCCCTATCTATTCTAATTACTCTTAATAAAATTACACATTTGAACTAAATAAACCTATTGTTGTCCAGTATTGAACATAAAAAGAAAAGACAGATGCCGTGATTTCTTTCTTTTCTTTTCCTTTTCCAGGATTCTTCTCACCATGGAAGACTCCAAAGCCTGTAAGTTTTCTTGGATTTTTTTATTTTGTGGGTGCATTAGAGTATGTAGCTAAACCTAAGGGCTTTTATGTCCCATCAATTTCAGTGGGAGAAAATTAAGTATATGCTTAATTCTTCCCAGCTGAAAACAATTGGACTTACTTTTGTCTGCTATACATTTTCTCTATGGCTGAATGTTAACCATAAACAAATCCCATAGGACTGGAGGGGGGGCTACCTGCAAATATACTCGTTTAGGATTGATCAATAAATCTCACCTCTTTGAGATTTTTTCCATCTGCATTTCAAGTAAGCATGTGTATAATTGCAATCTAAGATCTGCTTATATGTTAGGGAATGCATTTAGGATTATGCTGTAAACTTTGGCCTTCTGTTTTGATAGTATTCTGTCTACTTGAAAACTCAGTCTGAAAACACTTTGCTAATTAGTATTTCTTTATGACATCTAATCCTGCTTGCATCCTCTAGCCCGCTCAGCATAATTCATAAAGTATTTCTCAATAGGATTAGCCAAAGGAAAGTAGATTATATTAGATCCTGATTGCCTTGGGCTCTAGTTGCAGGCAGGTATTTGTTATCTAGCTAGACAACAAAAATTTAGAGCCATGGGATAACTATAGCCAGTGAGATCCAAGAGTACCTAAACAATGCATTCAATCAAACTACTGGCTTTCCTTTGCTCAAGAGAATGGAAGAATGTGAAAGCTTAGCTCTCTGCTGGCATGATTAATAAGATATAGTTACTGCCCATCTTTTATTAATATTTCCCCCAATTGGAGCAATTTAAAGTCTGCTTGGATTCCATTTGTAAAGTTGGTGCTTCTTTCCTTTTGTAAAGCCTGGTTATATGTTGCATTCTTCACCTGAAATATAGCCAGGCTTTGGCTGCTGAGAGTCCTCAGTGCCTCTTGAGTCAAGCAGCATTCCAAGGGTTGGATCCTGAATGGAGATGAATCAACGCCCCATCCCCTCCTTCCCACCAAAGACCCAGTAGCCCCCTAAAACAGGAACACAGAGATTCTGGAGACCATACTAAATGGAAAGAGCTATAAAGAGATTCCAAAACATTTGGATGCAGAATATAAATAAAATAAATAAATCAGCAATCACTTCCTCTAACAGAAGATCTTGGAACCAACCCTAGGAAATGCTTGAAGATGTTTGCCTTGATATTATGCCAAGAACTGACGCTGGCCTCCTGGCTTTTAATCACTTGGCTCACTTAGCTCATTTTCCCTGATAGAAATGTGGAAATTTAGGTGGATAAAACAATGTGGAACAAGGATCCACTCAGCCAGCAATAATGCCCTGTCTCTGGGGAGGAGGATCAGGCAGGGACATCCACACATTTCTCAAGTGTAAATAAATAAATAATCTTGAGAGGAATTCTCCTCACCCCACAGTCTGGTTCCTTTTCACATAGTAAATAGTAACACCACTCTGAAGAAAGAAGTACAAGTCCCTCCCTAGTTTTTTTATTGTATTATTTCTTATCCTAATTATTTATTATTTTATTGCATTATTTATGTCTATGGTTTATCACATCCAGCTTCTTAGGCTAGATGTGATATTGTAATCTATGGTTGCCCATCTAATACATATTGTGCTTGTGTGTGTATGTGTGTGTCCCGTGCTAGCATGGCCTTTGACTAAACAGGGATTGGTATGTTCTCTTAGTGCTTCAACTAGAAATGGATGGTCTGTTACTTTAACTTTTGAAGTCCTTGAAGCACAAGTTTATCCTGTCACAGTATGCAATTTAGAGGTGGGAGAAAGTTTGTGTGAAAATTAATTCAGATTTTATAGACATTTCTGCTGCACTGTAGTTCTGCCGATGCATTTTTTAATGAATTGCTACTAATGTGTGGAAGTGGAAGGATGAGTCCCAACTGCACATTGGCTCAGGACCAGACGAAATCTTGGAATCTACTATTTAGGAACTGATTTTTCCCCAAAGTTCTTTAGCATAAATGCTTTTCTGCATGTGCACAGGAATTCTCAGAAGAATAAGAAAAGCTCAGTTTGTCTGCCCCTTCCTTTTGACCATGCCCTAACATTCATTAACTTTTTCATGCTGGAAAATGTTGAAGCTTCCAGTAGAAGGTAAAAATAAACAGGAAGGTCAGGCGAAACCTACCTTCCTTCTTGCCCTCAAAATATGCTTATGAAGGGAGGATCAGTAGAGCAAAGAAAACTGGCAGCCAAGGAAAGGGTTAAGCACTCCATCTCCCACTGCTCAAAATTGTTCCTTCCTCAAGCTGTGTTTCATTTAAAATTAACATCAACATTATACAAATTTGCATGTAATGTCCAATTTGCCTCTTGGTGCATTCAGTCACTACTAAGAAAACATAAATTCATATTTTGAACTAGCAGGAGATAATCAGAAAAAAAGAATTATCCTTAAAAGAGTGGTGGTAGAAAATACAATCAACATGATTTATGGTTTATTGAAAAGGTTTTTTAGATTTTTTTTTAACCCTAAAAGAAGCTGCCTTTCCCTCCTTCTCAATTATACCATCAATGAGACAAGACAGAAGACAAAAGCTTCCATTCTCCAAGCTTCTCTCTTCTCCCCCTTCCCTTTTAGATGAAATGGAGATTAATGGTCTAGTATAAAAACAGTGCCCAGAATTTGGCTGCCAAAAAGAAGACAAATTGTCCAGGGCAGTTCTGCAGCTCTTCATTCTTTTTCACCTTGAAAGCTTAGTCTTTGCCTTATACCTATTCACTGTGGCTAACAGTTGCTCATTTGACAACAAAATGCATTTGAATTATTCTCAGATCTGAGTTTAGCTGCATCTCCTTTCAGTTATTGGAAAACAAAGCAGATTAACTTGTCATATATTGGGACGCATACCTCAGAGAACATTCCAGGCTATTTGTCTTGAGATCTTCTCCACAAAATCACAAGAAGAGGTGGCACAGACTGCAGTATATCCTTGGATTTGTGACTATTTGTGCTTTCATTTCTGATTGTGTGGCTCCTTTTACAACCCATGCAAAATCTAGTATTTGCAGACACTTCTGAATGCAATTTTGTGCATGTAAACACCTCTATAGAGTTCTTTGTGAGACTCAAATTCAGATAAGTTCAGACAATCCATTCAAGAACCAAGTCTCAAAGTCCAGTGGTTTCATCACAGACATGGTGCAGTAGCACAGAATTCATAGCATGTTATGGTTAAGGGTTTGAGTATAATTCAAACAAAAGGGTGTCCAGAACCCACTTTGTTTGCTTGTGTGCCCGTTTTTAAGTGGGGGTATGGGGCTGGAGTTCCTGTCCTGTTCATCCCATCTTGTGGGAAAACTTGGCCTGGCCCAAGAACTCCTCCTGAGGGAATACCTGTCATCTTCTCAGGTTGTAGCATCTTGAGGCATTTATGAGCTTGCTACTTCCTCCTCAGCCAAATCTGCCCCCTAATCTCTTATCAGTGAATGTCTCTCAGGCAGGGGTGCTCTGGCCATGTTTCCTGCAAGCTCACTCTGGCAGCAGGGGAGGAGGATGGCTGACTTTTCCAGAGCATAAAAACATAACAGGAGAAAAGCCATGCTGGATCAAAGCAAGGTCCATCCAGTCCATCACTCCACACACACAGTGGCACATCAGCTGCCCATGGGATACCTCAAGCAGGATAGATGCAAGATTTCTACCTTCCCAAGCTCTTCAAGAAATGGTGTATGCAGACAGGCCACACCTGGTCAAGGAGGTAGCACATAGCCAGCAAGGCTTGTAGCCGCTGATACCCTTCTCCATGAATCTGTTCAGTCCTCTTTTAAAGCCATCCAAATTGGTAGTCCTCACCACTTCCCATGGCAGTCAAATACACAGGTTTTCTGTATGTTGTGTGAACAAGTACTTCCTTTTATCTGTCCTAAACCTTCCACCAATCAGCTTCATGGGATAACCCTGGATTTGAGTATTATGGAACAGGAAGAAAAATCTATTGTGAATGGAGGCAGAGGCAAATTCCCTGGACTCTGAACATTCAAAACCTATCTAGGCCTGAAATCTCATTATTACTGAGTCAGATTGTTCTCTAAGACAGGACTTTCAAGGGAAAGCATGGCATGGATAATGACTCTGGTATGGATAATGAGTCTGAGTTTCCCCGCCACTACTGCAGTGGTGGGGAAACTCAGGCCTTGGGGCTAACTCAAGCCATCCCTTTACTCCCAATTTGGCCTGCTGGAGTTCCTCAGATGGCCCCATCCCTTTTCCCAGGTCCCACTACTTTCTCCTTGAACAATGTCTGTTTGGTGGTTGCCTGGCATTTCTGTGTGTGTGATTTTTTTTTTTTTAATCTTTGGGTCTGTGCCCTTTGCCCTTGACCCCTGCTGCCGCCAGAATGCATCCCCAAAAGCTGTTCTGGAATGGAATTCAGCCCTTGGGCAACTGGAATCTCAGAAAAAATATAATTAAAAATATGTTCCATTTATTATTAATAGTACAATAGTACAAAATGCACACTGACTTATCTATGCCATCCTATATCTGGGAATAAGTCCCATTGAACTCAGTGTGGCTTACTCCGAGTAGCACTATAGAAGATTGCACTGTAAACCGCCCAGGCATTGTGTGGCTGTGAAAAGGAAATGTGACATAAACTGCGCCTGCAGACTTTCCGTCTAAAACTTGTCATCTTGTTTTTCTGTTATTTATTATAGATGATGGAACGATGGGAAAACCAAGGCAGTCCGCAGACAAGTTTATCTGCTCCAGCGATACCGCAAAATATTCCCTTTCCACCCACCCTTCACAGGAGTTCTTTTCCTGATTCAACAGAGGCCTTTGACCCAAGGAAACCTGACCCATATGAGCTGTATGAGAAATCACGAGCTATTTATGAAAGTAGGCGTAAGTGAAAACCGTGGTCCCCTCAGCAGAGCACTTGACAACATTAAGCACTGGCCTTTACATGCTCCAAATCTGGCACAACAGCACTGGTTATTATAAGGCAAAGTAGTCCAAATCATGGCTCTAGTCTTTATGGATTGCAGAATGAAGGAGTTACCCTGATTTTGCCTCCATTTAAAAAATGCAACCCATCAGCGTTTCTGCTGATGAATTTCAGTCAAGATGCACAGGACATCATGGAAGAGCCCTGACTGCAGTGTTGTGCTTTTAATTATTTGGTCCCATGTAAATCAGCTTTTTGTTCAGGTTGAGTGCTCTGACTCTCCTTCCAACAATGCGAAACAATGCATGCCACCTTTTTACCGTGCAATTTTTCTTTCCATTTCATTAGCAAAATGCTTCAAAGCGTACACTTACCTTCTTTGGTGCTTCTGTAGTATTGTTACAATGCTAAGCTAAAAGTCAAAGTGTTAGGCTGTTTGTTTCATTTTTAACTGGTATTATTTTCAGCCAGCATATCACAATAGGGTGTTGTGTACACAACATTAGGCGTCTTAGGGCGAAACAAGACTTGACGGTGGGCGAGCCTCCGTGGAAGAAAAGGGCAAATGGGGAAGCTGTGCACCCAGGGTGGGCTGGGAGAGAAGTCACAACCTTCCTTCACTGTGATGCATGCTAGGCCATTTCATTGAACCCATTTTTAAAAATAGACCTCCTGTATTGGCTTCCATTTAAAACAAAATCTGAGCATACACCACTAAAGGTTTAACTGATATCAGCTGCAACCCCCCCCCCCCCATTGCTTAGGACCTGGAATTCAGTCAACGCAATTCCAACTCTTTGGTATTATTTATAAATCATACCAAAGTCAGTCCTGTCTGATAGTCAGGGAGAGAGGATGGATGGGAGAGTGCCAGGCCTTTTTCCTCCCTTGTCTCCTCCCTTTTTCCCATCCCTGAAGCTAATGCCACCAGGAGAGCAGGGTTCCCCAGGCTGTACCATGTTCTTCCCAAATGCAGTCCAGCCTCTGGGTCCCCAGAAGGAGACCCAGAGACCCAAACCAAGACTTTCCTAATTTACATGTAAGAACACCAACCTGCACCACACTTCTCAGAAGTCATTTGTTTGGTTGCATTGGTGCTTACCACTCAATGGAGAAAACCCAGGGCAGCAAACTTAAATTGGAAGATTAACAAGCTCAACTTTACTGAGAATTGTGCCTGGTTCCATGTAGGCTGAGAATTCTTCTGGACCCTGAGGTGGTTATAAAGGCCCAACTACCCCTGAAGGCTTCTCCTGCAAAACTGAAGCTGTTTCTTCCAGTTCACTCACAGGGGAAGGATTTGCAGCTGAATTATTGCTTGGCATTATGTGCACGAGTCCCAAGGCATTCTTTCTTCCCCAGTCTGCCCTTGCAGCCGTGAGGAGGAGACTGGAAGCATTCATTTCCAATTTGAACTCCAAGATTGCTCAAACCTAAACAAAGTATGATTAAACTTAACTATGGTTTGTTTGTTTATATATTAGATTTGGATTGGGGTTGCCTTGGGGCAGTTTACAATTACAACACAGGTATCAAAATGATGTAATTCTAAACATTACAAAAATTAAAAACATTGATGAGCCAGCAGTAAAATTAATAAAGCAACAGATTAAAGGTTAAATTCCTATTTGAAGAAGAAAGTAAGAGTATATACTATGAAAATAGGATGAGCATTCTATAGGTGGAGGCCATTACAGAAATGGCACTTTCTCTGGTAGCCACCTAGGCACCATTGCGTTCAATAGCACCTAGAGGAGAGTATCTGAAGATGTTCTTAGCAGTCAGGCAGGTATATATGGAAGAAGGCATTCATTAGGTAGACTGGCCCTAAGCTAGTCAGGGCACAATCCTATGGCCTCCTGACATTGTTTGAGAAGTTGAAGGATTCTTTGGAGTCTTAGCATCATGCTCCAACTGCCAGGAACTAAGGTTTAGGCAAAGCATTTCCACCATTTAGATTGGTCCAAAAAGCTGGAAGACAAGCAAACAATCAGAGGCCAGACAAAAGGAAATGAGGCCAGTGAAAAGGGCTGTGGCTTTCTGGGAAGCCCCATAGGGCTTTTCTCTTGGGTCTCACGTTTCCCATCCTCGTGCTAAACTGTGTCCAAACGTGGCCATGATCAGACTTATCCAGATGCTCCAGTCCTTTCCTCTTGATAGTACTCAACATTTTCTGCCAACCCACCTAGATGCTCCATTAAAAAGTATGAGAGACACAAGATGCATTAACTGTGATCTTACTCCACAGCCTGCTGCAGAGGGTGGACAGCCCTGAGCTCAAGTCTCCCAAAGAATAATGTGTCCACCAGAGCTGCTTTGGGTGGAAGCCACGGTGACTCTACAAGTGCCCTGAGTGTAGGACTTTGTACAGATGTGGACCAAGGCACTTGAAAGGGCAATAGCAAGGGTCCCTACTCAGACTCATCCCTGGAAAACTCTCGAGCAAGGATTGGCTCAGGACTTTTCCTCTGCCACATGCATCCACTGCTTTAATGGAAGAATATGGATGTGGTGCTGAAAAGATATTCCCTAGTGATCTCCCTTCTGGGAATGGCTGTCAGAAAGAGTGAAGGGAGGCCCCGCAATTAACCAGGATTTTCTGTAACTCAGCACCTTTGCTTAAAATGTACTTGACTTGATCTAACACTTTAAAGACAGGACAGACTTTCCCCAATAATTGCTCCCCTTTGGTAGTCACTCAGTAGTAAATGAAATCCTTTCACAGAACTTCGCACTTATTATTCAGCAGGGAAGCTCTTGAATAAAACTGCTAGAGACAGAGCAGGAAAGCGTCCAGTAAAGGCTAACTTTTATCTAGTAAAACAGAACAAAACAAAAGAACCTGGAGGGATAATCATAATACAAAGAATTAGAAAAGGCATAGATCACGAGAGAGACAGAACTTTGGCCTTAGGGCAAAGAAAGCATTTTCAGAGGTTTTTCTAATATTAGGTTGTTCATAGGGGTCATATTTAATTCATATTTAGGTCTAAATGTCATTCCAAGCCTTACAGTTCACCAGAGAGTGAAATGATTGCAGCAGAAATGAAATTTTAAACTTTGTGAAACAGCTTAAAATGGTTAACGGTGGTTCCTCAGTGTTGTTTACCGGGGGTGCTCTCCAAAACCTTGTCTGCAAAGGAAAGCTCCCTATGCTGCGGATTATACAACATGCATGCGTCTAATATCTTGGCAGTCTGCTCACAACACTCCCATGACTCTGCTGGTGGACTGCAATGCACCTACTATGGAAATAGAGAATAGTGTAATAATAGTGTAATATTATCGACAGAAATTTGATAGAAATTCTTATTTATTCATTCATTTATTAAATTGGTATAAAAGCTGCCTGTTAACATCATGCTCTCTGGGTGGCCATTTCAATAAAAATGCCAAGAACAACATTAGGTAAAATAATACATTTAAAATATTAAATAAACAAATAAATAAGCTAACACACGATGTATATAATCAGACAAAGGATATATTAATAAAATTAATAAATTTAAAGCAGTGCCACCTGGTTTAATAGTGACATAGGTGCATCAAAAAAGAATTTGTTTTGGCATGTACCTAAAACTCAGTGAAGTAGGCGCCTGACAAATCTCCAAGGGAAGGGCATTCCACAATTGGGGTGTTACTGCAGGAAGGGCCCTCCTTGTTGCAACCTCCCTGTTAGCCTGTATCAACCTCTAACAATAGGCAGTCATGTTTGGAGGAAGGCACCTCCCAGATAATGTGGTACCAAGCTGTTGAGGATTTTCTATGCTGTAGTCAAAACCTTGAATCGCCAAGTCCACCTGGGCAACCAGAGAGAGTTCGGGGTCCAGGAGCATCCCAGACTATGAGTCTTGCCCTTTAGGGGGAGTGCACTTCCATCCAGGGCAGGTTTATAATCTCCCAGTTGAAATGGAGCTTTACTCACCAACAGCACTTCCGTCTTATTGGGATGGAGCTTAAGCTTCTTGGCCCTTTCTGGAGATACAGATAAAAGGCATAGTGCAAACGATAGTCTCCTCCCAAGCAACCTCAACCCCAGTGAAAGCTTAATGCTGTGTTTTAAGCTATATCAATTCTAAGTAATTTCAGTTTGGGCTGCAATGCATAACCAATGATGAGCAACTCTTTAATGTGCTTTTCTGTTCTACTTTTTAAATGACCAGGGTCAATGTTATAACTAGCCAAATGTAGGAAGTCTCAGTTGGAGGCATCTTTAAAATGAACTTATTAAGCAAAAACACCAAAGGGGCAAACAAAATATTAGGAAGTGACAATTAGCAAGGCTTTTAGAAGCTCATGCTGATGTGGCCATCTTTCCCCCTTTTTGCCTAGAAAAGATAATAAAATTAAACTGTTATTATGTGCCCTCATGACCTGTGGATGAAAGCCCTCCAAAATGTCCTGTCCTTCCCAGCCCTGCTCAGCTCTTGTAAACTCAGAGCTGTGACTACCTTTATGGAATCGATGCATCCCATAGTTCTTCTACTTCCTCTTCTCCTGCCTTTGCCTTTCCCTAGCATGATTGCCTTCTCCAGCAAGTTCTGCATTCTCATTTGTCCACAATATGACAGCCTTCATCATTTTTGCTTCCAGGGAAAGTTCTGGCTTGCCTCATTTTGCCTACGAAAGATAGTAACATTAAATGACTGGAAAAGATTAAAGAGAACTATACTGGTTGTGTTAACTAACAGTAACCAGGGGCTCTGCATTCAAAGTCCAAGAAGAAGCGCATCACAGAAAGTCCTAATCCAAAGTCCCATGGCTACATGGCCTTAGGACCCTTCAGTCATAGCACTTTCTCCATATTTATTTATTTTACTGATTTAGTAGATTTATATCCCACAGTTTTCTTTTTTTTAAAGAACACAAAGCAGCTTCCATCATTCTCCTCCTCCTCCTTAATCTTATCCCCACAACAACAACCCTGTGCAGCAGGTTTGGCTGAGAGTCTGTGACT